TGTTATAACTATTATACTGATCAGAGAAGTGCATGAATACGTCTATTACCCACACAGTATACGCTCATGCTGTACCCGCCCACAGGACCGCCCTATGGCTTCCTGTCTTGGCGGAACACTACATACATATCATATAGCATTTGCATTTAACAGTTCAATAGCATTTCAGTAAAACAATACATGAAAACACATCATGCATATAACCATCCCCCATGGGACATGGTTGAACAAACAATGGCTAAATCGATGACACGAAAGCTTACCTTGCAAGCTAGCTATCCAAGCGAAGAGTCCACACAAGCTCAAGGTCCACACACAGCACAATCACAATCTGTTAGGACCAATAACAACATCAATATTCATACTCTACAAGCATACGATATAAAGACAACGTCTTTCCTTTGCGTTCCAAGTCTTAAGGCTTCTCACAAAGTCACAAGCCCTTAATCCCTTGATTCTGACTTAACTTAATCATTACAGAAGTTCAACTTCCACAACCTAGGATCCACAAACCCATAACTCAGTTCTGTATGAACAGTACCGTTACTGTTCTCGAAAACCCAGAATATCCGGATATTTGTCGGGGCAATATTCGGATATCATTTCCGGATATGTATATCCAGATATCATATTCCGATATCCACAGACCCCATATCCGAATATTTCGCGACAGAATGCAGTTCTGCATTTTGCGAGATATCCTTCTCAAAGGTGGTTCATTTCACGATTTCAGATGCTTAAACATGCATTTCTAGGTGTGTTTAACCTTACCCAACCTTAAGTTATCAGCTTTATCTTATTACATGCATCAAGGCTTCATTTTTAACCAAAGAAACTCAAGAACAAGGGTGATGATCATACCACAAGCTCAAAACAGAACAAGGAGGTGCTCTTGGAGCTCTCCCTTCAACCCCAAAGGTTCAGACTTGCAAGTAGAGTAGGTTGTTGAATCTACAATTAGATGAGAGCATCATAGATGACTAAAGAGGTCCAGATATGAAGAATGAGAGATCAACTAACTTATATGATGAGAGCAACTCAGGTAATGGCAAAGAATAAGAAAGGTGAGTGCACAAAAGGCTTGGTTTCTAGTGTGAGAATAAATGAGCATGCACAAACTAAGCTTCAGCAATAATGGAGAGATTATTTAGAAAGTTATATTATATTTAAAACTAATAGAAATTATTTGGGAATATGATATAAAATGTGTCTTTTATGTCCAAAGTATTGTTGTGAAACTCAGTCTGACCCAGCCGGTAGACTTGAAACCCTGCGAATCAGTCATCGGACTGGTCATGCATCATATTTGATTATATTCAATCAAAATCCGGCCAAAATTGGCCAAATTCAGTAAAAGTCGATGACCCAGTGACCCAGTCAGGTCATGCATTTATATATATATATATATATATATATATATATATATATATATATATATATATAAATCAAAAACCAAAATTGTATTGTCAGAAAAAATTGTAGAACTCATTGTAAATTTTTTTGTAATTTTATTTGCTGGTAATATACTCTTTTACCATGACCTAAAATTTCAGCTTCCAATACTGAAGCAATTTGCGGAACAATAAATTAAGAGAATGTGACATATGTCATTTCAATGTAGATGAATTTGAAAAATATAATTTCACAACATCTGGTCTTTTGAATGTTATTAAGAGGTATGCTATGAGGATTTTGAGTTGCAATCTAAATTGACATAGTAATAGCATGCATTTTCATTTATTTGTGCTTTATGAACTTATAAAAGTGTGATTGGGTAATTTTTGAACTTATTTAGTGAACATTGTTTAACGAGAATATAATCAAATTTATATGTTTATATTTATATATATCTGGGTCAACCGGTTCAACCAATAACTCAATATCACAACCGGATCAATGCCTAAGTCGAGTTTAATAACACTAGTCTAAAGTGTTTATAGACTAGCAAGAGATTGGGGTGATGGTATCAAGTATCATCAATTTGACTTTAAGTTTCATCTGAAAAAACTATAGAAAACAAATATATCATGTAATATATGAATAAGATATTCTTATAGTGTTTAATTAAAACATTCTCTAAACTAGACCCAACTTAATTCTTTTTAATTATTTATGTCCTATATATGAGAAAAAAAGAAGCATACTCTATCTTCTATATCTTAGTAGAATGACTTTAGGCAAAAATTGAATGGGGTAATATAGTTACAAGAGAAGGTTCAACTTATCCCCAAGAAAAATTATAACTTCAATACATAATAAAAAAAAATTGGAAATTATTCCAAGAGTATCCTCCAGCCAAAAATCAAGGACTAATTACCTCAAGCCAGAGCCGCAGAGAGATCACACGATCGTGGATATAATCTCTCTTAACAAAACCTTTTTTATACACATAATCAAAAATCAAACCCCTATCAATATACTTAAAGGACCCAATTATCTATGCACATACTTTGTTGATAGATAATAAGTTTTGTTCAACTTTCTAAAGGAGTAATGTAATAATGTAATGGCTCATATGCATTGGTCCGCCACCACTTCCATTTTTTTATATTATCTTTTATGACTTTTATCAATGTAAATGAATTATTTTCTTAAATAAATTATTAACCAATTATCTATAATTAGTTGAAATATATATAGAATAAATGATGAACTTGATAATATATTAGAATTTATTATGATTGGTTACTATAAATTAAGGGAGTATATTTATTATATTGTAGAAGATAAATTTTATTTTCTACACCCACACATAAAAGTATATATGACCATATTTTTTCTCTTTTTTTTTCATATAATCCTCACACACTTTTATATATATATATGTAATATCAAACCAATTAATTAATAGTGCTTTTGGAAAGTCGGTCCAATGAGATTGAATGAAATCGTGGAGAGGTATTCTTAATTTAAAAAAAAAAAATCTAAAATAGATTGGTATTTGGTTTTGAGATTCGTACGTGGTTTTCAGAAATTGTGTGGACGGAAAAATTCCTGGAAAATAAAAATACGTGAATTTATTCGTTTTATAAAACTTCATAATAAAAGAAGGGAAAAAAGTTTCCGATGTTACTTTAGATAACTTTATCTAATGTTCATCGAAAAAACGTCATTTTGAAGTTGAAAAATTAAAAAAATAAGAGTGATAAAGACTATTATAACCCTGAAATAAATTAAAATTACAGAAATACCATGATTTTCGTTCCAAAACGACATTATTTTACATTAAATAAAATTATCTAAAGTAACGTAACAAAAACAAACTCACAAAAGAATGCACAATGCAGTTTAAAACCATTTCATTCATATATTTTTTATTTTATTTTTAGCAAACCATTTTATTCCACCGCAACTTCCGTATCGAAATATGATATTACCGCAAATTATGTTAAATCTTGTAACATCATTGACTATCAAATTTTGATATAAATCTTAATCATCCTAGCATTAATATTAATTTGTCTAACTACATCAAATCAATGTAGGCTTTCATTAATTTCTCTAACTACATCAAATCAATGCAGAAAATGTACTTTGAAAGTTTTCTTAGAAAGGATTTACTCTTAAGTTGACGCAAATATCAGATAAAATATACTACTACTGGGAAAAAAATTAAACTTATTCTAAATCGAAGCCACTGATGATTATTGTTTGGTATTCTGCATGTGGTTTAACGTTTTGGTGCCGGGATATTGTCCCACTTTTTGGATGGATTTGTTGGTGAATTTTAATTTCCTATAGGTTTAGAGAAAAAAAATTATATTTACAATATTTTTTATTTATAATATCTTACAATCATGTTTTAATTGTTGATTTTTGTCAATCAATGGTTATTATTTTTACAAACTAAATTCATTAATTAATTATTAATTCACAATAAATAATAACCGTTGATTGACAAAAATTAATGATTAAGATATGATTATAAAAAATTATAAATTAAAATCAGTTGTAAGTATAACCTTTAAAAAAAAAAGAGAGACGCCATATATAGATATATATGATTTATCGTTTCTCCATTTAATAAAATTTTCTTCTATAACATCAAAGTTTTGAAAGTTAGGACTTAGGAGAATTAATGAGGAATGTTATGATAAAATTTATATATGATAAAATTTATATAATATAAAAAGGGAAAAATGTTTGTCATTTTAAATGACAGAAAGTTATGTCATTTTAAGAGTGATACAGACACAGAAAATTTGAATTTTAAATTAAAAAAAACCACTCACCTTCTCTCTCCCATTATTTTCGTTTTTCTGTGTCTATCTCTCTCCTAAAATGACATAATTTATGTCATTTAAGATGACAAACACCAAACCCATATAAAAATGAACAAAAACTTAATCTTTTTTGATCTAACGGTTAGCAGATGAGGTATCAAACTTCAATTTTGATACTAGTGTCAAAGGATCCTACATCATATATATATATATATATATATATATATATATATATATATATATATATATTACCGGTATACAAAGTGCTGGATTCTACTAATTTCGGTTTGAATTTGAGTTTTTTCACTTTATATAAAAGAAGTTGCAGTTTGAAATTTTCCTATTAATTATTTGCAATATTTCTTCATGGAAAAAAAGGATATTAAGTTGGTAAAAAAAAAAAAACGTTATATGACATAGCCAGCACTAAGGAGCTGCCTCATTGGCAACTTTGGACCAAAAACACCCTGTCGTTTACTCCCATTTGGCCTCAATCCCAGGAGGAGGACCACAGCCACTTCATCATGTTCTCAAGTATCGACGCGCCAACTAAGCGCGTGATCAACCTTCCAAAATATCTAACTTCGAACATGACGTGTACCAAAGCGATGCCACGTAGGCATCAACCCACTACCCTCGAGCAAATATCACAGCCCCTCCCGATGCAAGCCACGTAGTTACCCTCATTTTGTTACTGTACATGCGTCCCCTCTATATATAAGGTGCTCTCTCATTCTTATGAAAAAGCTCACCCTTACGCTCAGTTTCGTTCACAGACATAGAAAAACTCAGACAACACAACATAACACAATACAAACACTCTTTCTTTCTTTTGTTGTTGTTGTTAATGGGATGGAGCAGAATAACGTTATCGCACCGTTCGTTTTAAAGACATACCACATGGTGAATGATCCCAACACCGATAAGCTTATCACGTGGGGCCCAAACAACAACAGCTTCATCGTCCTCGACCCCCTCGATTTCTCTCACTCCCTTCTCCCTGCTTTCTTCAAACACAACAACTTCTCCAGCTTCGTTCGCCAACTCAACACCTATGTTAGTACTAATCACTTCACTTTTTCAATTCAATTTAATTTTTTAAACCAAGCCCACTTCTCAAAATCATATTTTGTGAACTGGGTGTTCTTTGTTTTTTGATAAATCAATCGAATTCAGATTCAATTTTTTTATTTTTTTTTATTTTTTTTGTAGGGTTTCAGAAAGGTGGATCCGGATAAGTGGGAGTTTGCGAACGAGTGGTTCCTGCGAGGGCAGAAACACTTGTTGAAGAACATCGTGAGGAAGAAGCACGGTGGTGGAAGGAATAACGCATATTCGAAGCTCGAGGATTTGGACGATGAGGCCTTGGTGATGGAGATTGCGAGGTTGAAGGAGGAACAGAAGGCTTTGGAAGAGGAGCTTCAAGGTATGAACAAGAGGTTAGAGACAACAGAGAAACGACCACAGCAAATGATGTCTTTTCTCTGCAAAGTCGCCGAGGATCCTCAAGTTCTTTCTCGAATACTCCTCGAGAGAGAGAGGAAGCAGCTTGGGGAGAAGAAACGGCGGTTGATATCGGCGGCGGCGGCTACGTCGTCTTCCTCGTCGTCGGGCATGGCGGCGACGAATTCGTCGGTGAAGACGGAGTTTGAGGAAGACGAAGCAACTGTGGGTAATATAATATCTTCATCATCGCCGGAGACAGGTTTTGAAATTCATAATTTTTGCCGTGCGGTGCCGCTGTCTCCGCCGCAGGAGGCTACGCCGGCGGTTTGGTGGGGGCAGGCGCATGGGATTGGCCAACAGGGTGGTTATGGTTATAATTGTGCTGCCGCTCCGGCACCGTTGACGGAGGTGTCTGTGGCGGTGCCGCCGCCAATGGGAGGAGGCTATCCGGGGTACGAGAATAATAATGGTAAGGGGCGGGTGAGTTATTTCAGTGATATGGCGGTAGAGTGCAGTTCACTGCCACCTTATCCGTTTTCGCTGTTGGAAGGTGGCTTTTAGCTTATGTTTTACTTTTATTAAGATTTTATCTTGGATTCTCTCATTTGTAAAATTCTATATATATATTTTTTTCTCTTCTTCTTCTTTTAATACTTCACGTATTTTTTTTTATTTTTGATTCCAAAAGAAGGACATAATCACATAAAGATTTACAAATAATTATTATATATTTTTATTCAATTTTAAATTTATGTTCTGCTTGATTCCTTGAATATGATTAAGAAAAACATACCGCGGTTATTCTGACACACACAAAAGGAGAAAACCGATCTGTAGTTATTTATTTCTGAAAAAAAAAAAATACCACCCGAAAAGAAGGATGTGTTCCTTGTATTTGTTATAAGTATTTCAAAAGGATTACTAGTAAATCTTTTATGGTAAACTCAATTACCATGTTTGATAGAAGAAATAAAAACCAATTCTCGGATATTCAAAGATTATCGGTAATTTGATTTATAAAGAAAAATTACTATTCAGATTACCAAAAATAATATGGTAATTCAGAATACCAAGTAAAGGAAAAACACAACAATAATTTTTGAGACAAAAATACCCCAACACACATAAAAACCTAGACTCAATCTATCAATTACAAAAGTAAAAATAGTTTGAGATTATTTTTGTAAAATAACCTCATATTCCAAGTCATATTTCGTTCTAAATCAAACATGGAGTTAGTAATTTTTATCCAATATTTTCGGTAATATTTTGGCGAACCAAACACATTTTTCATAAGATTCTAAGTAAACTCAATTTCTATTGTATTCCCATTAATCGTGATTTTCGGATACCAAATTTTTTTCTTGTACCAAACACACCCTAAGAGTATAGTAACTGAGTAACATGCTTAGAAATTAAAATTATTCTCTTTCACATAAATAATCGGATGAAAGTAGGAAGAAAAAGAAAAGAAAACTAAAATAGATGAAGCAATGATCATTGGCTTGGCTTGGAGAAAGATTGTTCTCACTTCTCATTGGACCTTTTTGTCAAGGGTACAAGAATATTTTTTTCTTATAACGTGAGTTCAGTTTACTAAAAGAATATCCTTTTGTCAATAATAACATCATCAAAGTTTAAGTTTGATATCTCTTATCATATTAACTAAAAGAATATTTTTGGTCAATTCTAATAGTTAATTTTCGTGTATCTAACAGTTATAATTTATTATAAAATTAATAAATCAATAAATAATTAATATATATTATCCAATAAATTATAATTGTTAAATGAATGAAAATCAATTATTAACATTTGACATAAAATTTATTATTTTTATACTACTTAACCTGATCTTATCCCTCTAAAAAAATGTTTTGAATGTAAAATATGGCCATATATATTCGCGAGAGAGAGAGAGAGTTGCTAATATGTATTTATTTAAATGGCAACAGTAATCAAAGGGAGTCGAATATTCCTCCAAAGAAATAATCTTCCGATCACCAAAAATCTTTTAGGTGATCAACAAAAAGAACGATTCTTCCAATGAAACTATCTTTTAGCCTAAAGCAACAAACTTGGGTGATAAGGTGGATTAAGGAAAGTAATTTTATGGTTTTGGGTTTTTTAAATTTATACAGTTATACGTCTTATTCTATGTTAATTCTTATATTCACCAAGTTATTTAATTTAATTTATTTTTATTATAATAGAGATACAAGTGTCCCTAGCAACATTTGAATGAAGCAAGCAATTTGTTCTTGGGTTCGTATTTTCTGCGGTTATTGCAGATAATTTATCTGCAGTAAGCCTAATATGACGTCGTTTTGGAGCGAAAATTATGGTATTTTTATAATTTTAATTTATTTTAGGATTATAATAATCTTTATATTTATAATTTTTTAAGATTTCAATACCAAAACGACGTTATTTTGAAAATAAATTCAGATAACTTATCTGCATTAACTGCAGAAACATTACCGGCTTGTGTTGGAAAAAAGCATAAATTAACAAACATTATTTAAGGTGCGTTTTAACTTCTTTTTTGAATGAGTTTTATAATTATTTAAAAAAAAAATTGGATTAATTTTAAACTAAAAGTTAATTTTTATTTAAAAATACTAACAAAACAGGTTTTATGGGATACAAATCTAATCCTTAATCATTTACGTCCATTTTTATAGACGATAAACTTTTTTTTAATAAAATTATGGGAAAAAGACTTCTCATGTCGCATGATAATCTCTTCTCCTACTACTCTCACTTCGATGTATGTGACAGTCACTTATTTATTTTCTATTTTTTTTCAAGATGATTCTCATTCATCTCTCTCTCTGTAGAAAAGTTTCAACTTCTCTTAATTACAACATGAGAAGTTACAAGCCCTAAAATTATTTATTTGTTTTCAAGGGAAAATAAGATTAAAATCTCGGCGCAAATTCTAGCATAAGTTTACTAGCTTTTATTTAATATTTCGACATAACTAATAAGTTTTGAATTGTCAATTGAAAAGAACGTGATCATATCTTATCAGGATCTCGCATTTATTTGGAAGAAATCAACCATTTAGATGCGCTTCACGAAAGTGAAACGAATACTGTATTTGTTATTTTTAGAAGGGAATGCTTGGCTATCATTAAGTGCCCTAATTTATACGAAGAGCCCAAAAAAAACAAAAAAACTACACGTTCTACTTCTATTTTGTCAAAGGTATACGCTTTTTTTTTTAGTAAAGAAAATAACTTTGACAGGTATACGCTTTTTAGTGATCAAAGAAGAAAACAAAAGCAACATAAAATTAATTAGCAATAGTAAGTGGCAAAGTTCAACAATCTCGCGTGAGTAGTACTGACACCATCCCTCCATACATATGAGAAAATTTTGGCAGTGCAAGTTTATATGCCGATGAAAAAAGATGGGTTTCATTTCAGTTCATATGTGAACCCACGTGATCTCTGCGACCTTTTGTGGCACTTTAAGGTCACCACTTGCCCACTTCTATTGCTAAAATTTATAATAAACATATATATAGCTCCCATGTTAACTATAAATTAAGGTAGGCCATGCCTTCTTTGTAACTGTGTCCTACATCATATATATGCCCACCTTGCCTTTGTCCCCTTTCCCATCCAAATTTATTAACCTTGCTTCACCTGTTTCTCATGCTCTTCTTGCCTATGGCTATCTTCCTCTCTCTCTCTCTCTCTCTCTCCCTCTCGCATCCTACACTTTACATCGATCTTTGGTGCACAACAAAATTTAAAAAGAAAAAAGATAACTCCTATAGACTTAAGAATAAGAACTACACATGATAGGAAAGCAGCTAGCAACACAACACTAAACCCCTACACATATAAAACAATCTTGGTCCCAGATGAACTAGAGAGAGGGTGAACTGAGTTTTATAAAAATAATTCGCTAATTAAAAATTAACTCAAAGCAATAAATCAAGATAAGGATAAAGAGATATTAACACAATAGTTTTTACGTGAAAAACCCAAAATGGAAGAAAAACCACGGGCCCTAAAATCGAATACTGAAATTCGACGGGCAACTCCACTATGAAACTTGTGTACAAAGAGTTCTCTAGTATTCTAGTTTCCTAGTCTACCTCTTACACAAATTTCCAAACTGGTATCCTAGTTTCCCAGTACGAAACCCTAACCCTTTAGGGTTCCGAAACTCTATCAAACAAGAGTTCTCAACTTACTTTCAATTTCCAAGAAAAAGAGACATGCTGGTATCCCAGTTTCCCAGCACAAGAACTGATATCCAAGTTTCCAGTACCGACCTTCAAAAAGGTCAAGAAGGAAATTACAATTAAAGTATTTACCTCAGTGCTTCTTTTCCTCAAACATATAGGTAATATGAATTCCTATGGTGAAATATTCACTTTGCCAAAGGAAGAATGTATGAATGAATGTTCTTGAGAAAGCTTTTTAATTGATGCACAAGAAAGAATCCTAATCTTGAAAATCTAATTCTCTCTTCTTCTTTTTTTGAAAATATTCCAATCGGTTCATTATTTCGCAACTAATCTGATTCGGGGTGGGTCCAGGATTAAGGCTTTAAACCCCTCCCATAGGTGGTACTGGGGAGATTCGAACACATGCTCTCACCCCCACCTGCTTAGCTCCCATGCGCCAACTGAGCTACCACCATTTGGTAATTCTCTCTTTTCTTTCTTGTATATTCTTCTCTCTTCTCTCGTATTTTTTCCACTATGAAATAATATGCAATGAGCCCTATTTATAATAATAACATCTTAATCTATTATGCAATGCAATCCTAATAAAATCTTTGGCAAAAAATATTTTATTTCTCTTACATAAAATCTAAAAAGATAAAATCTATCCTAATCTTTATTTGATTCCATGCTTTTCTATCTCTTCATGATATTTTCCATATCTTCTCCAAATTTTCATGCAATCTTCAATTATCTTGAATATTAATTTAAATTAGAATAAATATTATTCTGAAATCTCAAACAATCAGCTCATTAGTAATTTCAAGACAATAAAATATTATCAATTAAATTAAAAATAAATTGATTGTAATCATCAAAACATATTTTAAATCAATTAAACAATTGAGGTATAACAAATATCCAACAAACAAGGCTTTAATTTTTCTACATTGAATGTAGATAAGTTATCTACATTCACTCCCAAAATGACATCGTTTTGAGTTGAAAAATTAAAAAATTATAAAGAAAAAGACTATTATAACCCTGAAATATATTTATAATTACAAAAATACCTTAATTTCTGTCCCAGAACGACGACGTTTTGAGCTCAATGTAGATAACTTATCTACATAATTGGCTGCAGAAAAAACGAACCAATAAAACAATACACATTATTTTAAAAAAATTTAGATAAACATTTTTCATAAGTGTTCAACTCGGAATGAGAGATTGATACGATGATATAAGGATTGAGGTAGAGCGTTTGGTATAGGAAGGAACAGTTCTTAGACTCTATTTGACATTTCTTTTAAGTCAAAAATTATTTTTTGAGTTAAAGTTAAAATAAAAGTTTAAAAATCAAAGTTAAAAATTATTTCACTACAAGAAAATTCATTTTTTGTGATGACAATAATCGTCATTAAAAGTAAT